CCAAAAAAAAAAAAACCCTGATAAAAGCAGTTTAACAGGGCTGGAGAGATGCTCAGCAGGTAAGAGTGCTTGCTGCTCTGGCAGAAGACCTGAACTGAGTTCCCAGTACCCATTTTAGGGAGATCACAACCCCCTGTAATTCCAGCTCCAAGGTGATCCAACACCCTCTTCTGGTCTCCACAGGTACTTGCACTCCCATGTACATACCCATACATATGAATAATTAAAAGTGATTCCACTCAGGCTGGAGAGATGGTTCAGTGGTTAAGAACACCAGCTACTCTCCCAGAGGACTCAAGTTCAGTTCCCATCACATACATGGTGGCTCACAACCATCTGTAACTCCAGTTCCAGGGGTTCCAATGCTGCCTTCTGTCCTCTTTGGGCAGTGTGTGACACAGGTGCACTTACATACAAGCAGGCAATATGCTCATGCACATAAAATAATAAAATATTTTTTAAAAAAATAACTGCCCCCCCCATGCTGGGCGTGGTAGCACACGCCTTTAATCCCAGCACTTGGGAGGCAGAGGCAGGCGGATCTTTGTGAGTTCGAGGCCAGCCTGGTCTACATAGTGAGTTCCAGGACAGCTGGGGCTACAGGGAGACCCTGTCTCAAAAAAAAATTACTGCCCTCAGGGCTGGAGAGATGGCTCAGCGATTAAGAACACTGGCTGTTTTTCCAGAAGACCCGGGTTTGAATCCCAGCACCCACATGGCAGCTAGCAACTGTCCGTAACTCCAGTTCCAGGGGATCCGACAGCCTCTTCTGACCTCCATGGGCCTTACACGACATGGGTGCACCTACCTACATGCAGGCAGTACACACATACACATAAAAATGATAAATAAAATTTTAAAAATCATAAAACTGCCCTCAGGCTGGAGAGATGGCTCAGCAGTTAAGAACACTGGCTGCTCTTGCATAGAACCCAGGTTCAGTTCCCATCATATACATGGCGGCTCACAGTCATCTATAACTCCAGTTCCAGGGGATCCAACTCCCTCTTCTGGCCTCCATAGGTATTGCGTATATCGATGCAAGTACATACCTACAGGCAAAACACTCATACCCATAAAATAAAAATGATAAATAAAATTTTAAAAATCATCATAACTGCCCTCAGGCTGGAGAGATGGCTCAGCGGCTAAGAACACTGACTATTCTTGCAGAAGACCCAGGTTCAAATCCCAGCACCCACATGGCAACTAACACCTGTCCATAACTCCAGCTCCAGGGGATCCAACAGCCTCTTCTGTCCTTCTTGGGCATTGCACAACATGGGTGCACTTACCTACATGCAGGCATAACATTCATACACATAAAATAAAAATAATACATAAAATATAAAAAAATAAAAATAAGTGGGCTGGAGAGATGGCTCAGGGGTTAAGAACACTGATCGTTATTGCAGAAGACCCGGGTTTTAATCCCAGCACCCACATGGCAGCTAACAACTGTCCATAACTCCAGTTCCAGGGGATCCAACGGCCTCTTCTGTCCTCCCAGGGCATTGCATGACACTGGTGTACTTTACCTACATGCAGGCAATACACTCATACACATAAAATAAAAATAATAAATAAGCCCGGCATGGTGCGCACACCTTTAATCTCAGCACTTGGGAGGCAGAGGCAGGCAGATCTCTGTGAGTTCAAGGCCAACCTAGTCTACATAGCGAGTTCCAGGTCAGCTGGGGCTACAGGGAGACCCTGTCTCAAAAAGAACAACAACAACAAAATAATATTTTTAAAAAATAAGTAAAAATAAAAATAACTGCACTCACATGCACACACCTGTACCTACATACACATAATTAAAAGTAAAATAAATATTTTAAAATAAAAACAAACATTGCCTGGCATTGTGATCCATGCCTTTAATCCCAGCACTTGGGAGGCAGAGGCAGGTGGATGTCTGTGAGTTCAAGGCTAGCCTGGTCTCCATAGCGAATCCAGGCCAGCTGTGACTACAGGGAGACCGTCTCAAAAACAAAACCAGAACTAACCATCTCAGGTTCCAGCCTCCACACAGTCTCCTGCGCCCTTGTCTTCTTGCCCACCGTCTCTATTCGCACTCCTGACCCTGCTTTCTCCACCTCACAGGACATCGCCACTGTCTATCAAATCTTCCCAGATGAGGTGCTGGGCTCCGGGCAGTTTGGAGTGGTCTATGGAGGTAAGAATGTCAGAGGCTACACTGAGTAGATGGCAGGGCATGGACAGGGTCTTCCCAGCACCACACCCTCCTTTCTGCCCACACCCTATTTTTTTGGACTGGCAAGCTAGCCCACAGTTGCAGGGGGTTAAGGCCCCTTTCCTCAGCTTCTTGCCTGTTATTAATAGCAGGTCTGCATTCCACACTGGCCACAGAGCTACATCCTAGCCTTTGACTAGTTATGAATGCAGTTTCCTGTGTTATCTAATCCCTTCTCAAAATTCTGTACCTTTTATCTGCAGCCCAGGCTGGCCTCAAACTTGCTATCTTTCTGTCTCAGATGCCCAAATGCTGGGATAATCAGATTGTGCCACAAGCCCACTCTTTGATCTTTCATCTTTTTTTCCACCCCTGGGGATGAAACTCAGGACCACCTGCATGCTAGGCAGGGGCTCTAACCACACCCCCAGGCCCCTGCTGGGGGATTCTACGAAGGACCTCTGCCATTCAGTCATGTCCCCAGCTCCTCACTGGAAGATTCTAGTCATCTGCTCTATCACTGAGCCATACCCCAGCCCCTCACTGGAGATTCTAGGCAGGGGCTCTACCACTGAGCCATGCCCCCAGTCCATCACTGGGGATTCTAGGCAGGTGCTCTACCACTGAGCCACACCCCAGTCCATCACTGGGGATTCTAGTCATCTGCTCTACCACTGAGCCACACCCCAGCCCCTCACTGGGGGATTCTAGGCTGGTGTTCTGCCACTGAGCCACATGCCCCAAGTCCCTTTCTCCCACTTTTACCTCCAGCTCCTCCATCCCACTTCTCATACTGGGGACTCCTCCATACCTTTGCTCAGTTCCTGCTGTGTCTACTTTAGAGAAGTAGCAGGGGTGGGTCCCCTCCTACCAGGGCTGTAGGGTCTCTGTCACTGATCCCTTACCTGTCCTGTGCACCACCCTCAGGAAAGCACAGGAAGACTGGCAGGGATGTGGCAGTGAAGGTCATTGACAAACTGCGATTCCCCACCAAGCAGGAGAGCCAGCTCCGGAATGAAGTGGCCATTCTCCAGGTGACCCCAGGGTCCATGACCCAGCCATGCCTCTGCTGCAAAAGGGCCCCGCCCTTCCTGCGTCCTCCTCTCACATAATAGCTGAGCCAGTCTGAGGATGAGCAGGCTAGGCTTTCTGGAAGGGGAGATACACGTTAGGATGAGAGGTGTTCTGAGCTAAGGGACCAGCCTGTGCTGAGACCTGGAGACAGAGGAGACTTGAGAATCTTGAAAGAAACTCAGCACCCACATGGCACCATCTATAGCTCAGAATCATCCATAACTCCAGGGGCTGGAGTGGTTAAGAGCAGGTTCTGCACTTCCAGAGGCCCTGAGTTTGATTGCCAGCACCTGTGTCGGGCAACTCACAGCAGCCCATGACTCTAGCATTGCACTAATGTGCACAAATCCACACAGACACACACATATACACATAATTAAAAATAATAAAAAGCCAAGTATGGTGGCACACACCTTTAGGCCCAGTACTTGGGCTGCAGAGGCAGGCAGATCTCTGTGAGATCCAGGCCAGCCTGGTCTACATAGTGAGTTCCAGCCCAGCTGGCGCTACAGAGAGATCCTGTCTCAAAAAGGTAAAAATTAATAATAAATAAAATGGAAGCCAAGAGGAGGGTGGGGCTACACTCTGTGGACTCTCTTCTAAAGGTACTGGGGAGCCATAGAAAGATTTTGAGGGCTGGGGGGATGACTCAGAAGTCGAATACTTTCCTAACATGCATGAGGGTCTGGGTGCAGTACCCAAAAACAGAAGAAGAAAACCTAACCAATCAGTCAAGTCAAATAGATACCAAAGCTACACACATACAAGCTGCTCACTGTTTACCCAGCCTTCTCACTGTACCTTCCTGCCTCCCCAGGACTTCCCCATAGCATCATGATTCAAAACCCACTTTGCACATCCACAGGTGTGGGATGGGGACATCCTCTCTGCCTGCCACCTGTTCCCATGCTGACTTTCTGTCTCTCCCATCCCTGGACAGAGTCTGCGGCACCCTGGAATCGTGAACCTCGAGTGTATGTTCGAGACCCCTGAGAAGGTATTCGTGGTGATGGAGAAGCTGCACGGAGACATGCTGGAGATGATCCTCTCCAGCGAGAAGGGCCGGCTGCCTGAACGCCTCACCAAATTCCTCATCACGCAGGTGCGTGGTGTGCTGTCCGTCCTCTGTCGCCTCCTATCGAAGGCCCGGAGAACAAGCTCGTGCGATGGGAAGTCAGGAAGACAGAAGGACAGAAATAGAGGAGCAATAATGTTAATAGTAATAGAGGGACAGAGCAATTGGGGGTGGTGGGGGTTGCTGTTGTTTTTGTTTTGAGACAGGGTCTCCCTGTAGCCACAACTGGCATGGAACTCACTATGCAGACCAGGCTGGCTTGGATCTCATAGAGCTCCGCCTGCCTCTGCCTCTAAAGTACTGGGATTAAAGGCGTGCACCACCACGCCCAACCAGCGTCATAGTATTTATTGAGCACTGATTATTTTTTTCTTTTTTGAGGCAGGTCTCATATAGCCTAGGCTGGCCTGGAATTCACTATGTAGCTGAGGATGACCTTAGACCTCCTGCCTCCACCTCCTGAGTGCTGGAATTATAGACACCCAGTTTATACCATGCTGGGGATTGAAACCAGGGCTTCATGCATGCTAAGCAAGCACTCTATCAACTGAGCCACATCCCAGTTGCTTTTTTTTTTTTTTCCTGGATACAGGGATTCATGTTGTCTAGACTGGCCTCAGACTCACTATGCATCCAAAGAAGGCCTTGAGCTCTGATCTTCTTGCCTTCCCTTCCCATGTGCTGGAATCACAGTGAACTCTACATGCCCAGCTTCTCATTGGCTGTGAGACTGACACAGTGCAAAGCTATGGGAAGATTATTTCAATGCAATGTTTAGGTAGCTGAGTTTTGCAGGTCCATTGCTAGAGTGCCTACCTGCCTAGCATGCACCTACCCCTGGGTTTGTTCCCCAACACTCCAAACTGGATATGGTAGTACACAACTGTATGGTATGTAGAGAGAGGAGGACCAGGATCTCAAGGCCATCCTTAGCTACACAGCAGATTCAAGCTCAGCCTGGACTACATGAGACTTTGCCTCAAAAAGGTTTTTTTAAAAAAAATATTTATTGTCTAAAATCTTTTTCGGTCTCTGCTCCCACCAGCAGAGTGGGAGGACACATTTCCTCACTTCTTACTAGCACTGGATAAAAATAATTACCAGATCTTTAAATATTCTTTCTTTCTTTCTTTCTTTATTTATTTATTTATTTGTTCCTTTTTGGGAAGGTTGGAGGAGGTTGAGACAGGGTCTCCCTGTAGCCTCAGCTAGCCTTGAACTCTATGTAGACCAGTATTTATTTATTTATTTATTTATTTATTTATTTATTTATTTATTTTTGTCTGCCTCCTGAGTGCTAGGATTAAAGGTGTGCACCAACACACCCTGAGACACAGTCTTATGTAGCCTGATGTGATTCTCCTGTCTCAGCCTTCCTAGGGCTGGGATCATGGGTATGTGCCACCACTCTTAACTTTATTGGCATATTATACATATATATATATATAATATATACATATATGTATATTGTTGTTTGGTTTTATAAAAATATTTTTGTTTATTATTTTTATTTTATGTGTATGAGTATACTGCCTGCATGTTAAGTGCAACCATGTTGTACAATGCCTGATGAGGTCAGAAGAGGGCGTTAGATCCCCTGGAACTGGAGTTATGAATGATTGTTAGCCACCATATGGGTGCTAGGAATCAAACCAGGGTCCTCTGTAAGAACAGTCAGTTCTCTTAACCACTGAGCTATCTCTCCAGCTGTTGTTTGGCTTTGTGAGAGACAGGGTTTCACTATGTAGCTGAGTCTCACTGTGTCCACCGCACCTCTGTAAGAGCAGTCAGTTCTCTTAACCACTGGGCTATCTCTCTAGCCGTTTGGTATTGTGAGAGACAGGGTCTCACTATGTATGTGGGTCTCACTATGTCCACCACACCCCATGTATTTTTTTACCTTTTTTTTTTTTTTTTTTTTTTTGAGACAGGGTCTCCCTGTAGTCCCAGCTGGCTTGGAACTCACTATGAGGGCCAGGCTGGCCTTGAACTCACAGAGATCTGCCTGCCTCTGCCTCCCAAGTGCTGGGATTAAAGGCATGCGCCACCATGCCCAACTGTATTTTTTTTTTTTTGCTATTTTATCACTTTTATTTTATGTGTATGAGTGTATTGCCTGCATGTATGTGAGTGCACTCGCGTCATGCAATGCCATGGAGGTCAGAAGAGGGCTTCAGATTCCTCCGGAACTGGAGTTAAGGACAGTTCATAGCCTGGGAATCAAACCTGGGTCCTCTGAAAGAGCAGTCAGTGCTCTTAACCACTGAGCCATCTCTCCAGCCCCCCAGCTGTATTTTTAAACTTTTTAAAGAATATATTTTATTTAGCATGAAGTTGTGGCACAGCTTTAATCCCAGAACTCCAGATGCAGAGGCAGGTGAATCCCTGTGAGTTTGAGGCTAGCTTGATGTACATGGAGAGTTCCAGGCCAGTCAGGGCTACACAGTGAGACCTTGTCTCTGAAAACATTTTTCTTTATTTTATGTGTATGGGTGTTTTCCTTCAAGTATATGTGTGCATCATATGTGTATAGTGCCTGGGGAAACCAGAAGAGGGCATCAGATCTCCTGTAACGAGTTACGGACAGTTGTGAGCTGGCATGTGCTGGTAACTAAACCTGGGTCCTCTGTGACAGCAGCCAATGCCTTTAACCACTGAGCCCTCTCTCTAGCCCTCTAGCCTATATTTTTATGTCCCCTTCATACATTTTTGTTGTGGTGGTGCTAGGACATGAAACCCAGGGCCTTGGCACATGCTTCACCGTGCTTTACCACTGAGCCACCTCCTCAGCCTTCTCTTGGCACATTTAGAGTTGATTTTTTTTATTTAATTTTTTTACTTTATGTGTATGAGTGTTTTTAAATTTTTATTCATTTATTTTATGTGTATGAGTCTGTTGCCTGCATGTATGTAAATGCATCGTGTCATACAATGCCAGAGGAGGTCAGAAGAGAGCGTTGAATCCCCTGGAAGTAGAGTTGTGGATGGTTGTTAGCCTTCACGTGGGCACTGGGACTCTAACCTGGGTCCTCTGCAAGAGTGGCCAGTGCTCTTAACTGCTGAGTCATCTCTCTAGCCCCTTTTCAGTTAACTTTTTTAAATTTTATGTGTATCAATATTTTGCCAGCATGTATGTGTGTGTACCACATGCATGCAGTGTGCAGGGAGGCCAGAAGAGGGCATAGAATCCCCTGGAACTTGAGTTAGAAAAGGTTGTAAGCTGCCATGTGGGTGCTGGGAATTGAACCCCAGTCCTCTGCAAGAGCAGCCAGTGCTCTTAACCACTGATTCATCGCTCCAGCCCTTCTTCCTGTCTTTTTGCTCTCTCTCGTTCTCTCTCTTCTCTCTCCCTCTTCAGGTTTCTGTCCTCCTCGGGGCTTTTGCCTACTCCACTTCTAAGTGCTATACCCAGTTCTTTGCCTCAGGAACTTATTTAGACCTCACCAACCCCCTGTGAGGTAGGTATCATTAAGGTCTCACCTCAGCAGGGCATGATGGCACAGGCTTATAATCCCAGCACTCAGGAGGTAGAGGTATGAGGATCAGTTCAAGGCTAGCTTCAGCTACAAAATGAGTTTGAGGCTAACCTGGGATAAAACAACAACGCCAGGCCAGGCATGGTGGCTCACGTCTTTAATCCCAGCACTAGGGAGGCAGAAGCAGGAGTATCTCTGTGAGTTCAAGGCCAGCCTGGTGTACTGGTCTACATAGTGAGTTCCTGGACAGCTGGGGCTACAGGGAGACCCTGTCTCAAAAAGACCAAAAACAGTCCGGGCGTGGTAGTGCACGCCTTTAATCCCAGCACTCCACTCGCGAGGCAGAGGCAGGTGGATCTCTGTGAGTTCAAGGCCAGCCTGTTCTACATAGCATGTTCCAGGTCAGCTGGGGCTACAGGGAGACCCTGTCTCAAAAAAAGACGAAAAAAAAAAAAAAAAAAGACCAAAAACAGCAGGGCGTGGTGGCACACGACTTTAATCCCAGCACTTGGGAGACAGAGGCAGGCAGATCTCTGTGAGCTCGAGGCCAGCCTGGTCTACATAGTAAGTTCCAGGACAGCTGAGGCTACAGGGAGACCCTGTCTCAAAAAGACCAAAAAAAAAAAAAAAAGACCAAAAACAACAACAAAAGAAGTTCCAAGATAGCCTGAGCTAAAACCTAACAAGGGCCTTGTGATGTCACTCAGTGAGTAGAGTGTCTGTCTAGTATTCACAGAGTCCTAGGTTCAATCATCAGCACTACATGAAGCAGGAGTCAAGCTGGGCAAGTTAGCGCTCACCTTTGATCCCAGCACTCTCTGTGAGATCAAGGCCAGCCTGGTCTATATATTGAGAGTTCCAGGCCAGCAGGAGCTATAGGAAAACGGGGTCTCCCTGTAGCCCAAGCTTGTCTGTAACTGGCTATGTAGACCAGACTGACCTCAGTCTCACAGAGATTCGCCTGCCTCTGTTTTCTGACTACTAGGATTTAAAGGAGTGCACCACCACACCTGGCCAAATAAAAATTTAATATTTTATTTATTATTTTTATTTTATGTGTGTGAGTGTATTACCTGCATGTATGTGAGTGCACCTGTGTCATGGTCGTGCAATGCCGTGGAGGTCAGAAGAGGGCTTCAGATTCCCCTGGAACTGGAGTTAAGGATGGTTTGTAGCCGCCATGTGGGTGCTGGGAATTGAACCTGGGTCCTCTGCAAGAGCAGTCAGTGCTCTTAACTGCTGAGCCATCTCTCCAGCCCCTGCCCCCCAATTTTTTTTAATGGAAAAAGTTATATTTACTTATTTAGTGTATGTGTATGGGGGTGGGGTCCATGCCATAGCACACATGTGGAAGCTGGAGGACAACTTATGGAAGTCTGTTCTCTATACCACATGGGTTCTGGGGAGCAAATTCAGGTCACCAGCTTAGTGGCAAGCGCCTTTACCTGCTGAACCATCTTGCTGTTGCCCCCTCCAAATGATTTTGTTTGTTTGTTTGTTTGTTTAGACAGGTTCTTACTATGTAGTCCTGACTGGCCTGGAACTCACTGTGTAGACCAGGCTAACCTTGAATTCACAGAGATTTACCTGCCTCTGCCTTCCCAGTGCTGGGATTAAAGGATTGCACCACCAGGCCTGGCCCCCATATTTTTTTAATTGAGTTGTACAATGGCGCCTTCTTGGAGGGCCCTGCTGTGTTCACAGCTCACTGCAGGGAGGTCTCAGTGCCCCCTGTCCTGCTCCCCTGTAGCCCAGCCTTCTTGAATTCTGCACCTAGCTCATGGCTCTGGGTTCTGTGATTCCTTGCTGTTCTTAACGCCTCCCAGACCCCAGGCAGCATCTTTACGGGTGGAGAGAAAGGTCTGGGTAGGGTTTAGACATGTGGACCTCAAGTCTTTCTAACTGGCCCTACCTCCTCTCCTCAGATCCTGGTGGCATTGAGACACCTGCACTTCAAGAACATCGTCCACTGTGACTTGAAACCAGAGAACGTATTGCTGGCATCAGCCGATCCTTTCCCCCAGGTTTGTTACATCCCCTCCTAAACTGTGGAATATCCCAACAAGTGGTGGGGGGACTGACTGTAATGGTCCAAATGCAGGTGAACTGTAGACCTTAGGTGATAGTGACTTCATGACAGAGGCTTGACTTTACCCCTGCAGCATCTGACGTCATCATTTGGGGACTGAAAAGTACTTCATGGTGTTGGGACCTGCCTTTCTACTGTCTTCTTGGGCCTGTCTGATGGAACTGCAGGTCCATGTGGTCCTCGGTAGACCCATCAAATCTGTGATCTGGCTAAAACAAAGAAAAAAGACAAGAGATAGAAAAGATAGATGCAACTTTTCTTCACTGAGATAGTACTTGAAGTGACCCAAAACAGGGTCTCACTATGTATCCCTGGCTGGCCTGGAATTCCCCATGTAGATAAGGCTGACCTCAATCTCACAGAGCTCCACCTACCTGCCTCTGCCTCCTGAGTGCTGGGATTAAAGGTGTGCGCCACCATACTCAGGCTGGGAAATGTAGCTTTATTCAGGGTAAACCTGTGACCCATTAAATATAGAATTAAAAATATATTTTATTTACCGTTTTTATTTTATGTGTACAAGTGTATTGCTTGCGGGGCTGGAGAGATGGCTCAGCAGTTAAGAGCACTGACTGCTCTTGCAGAGGACCCGGGTTCAATTCCCAGCACCCACGTGGCAGCTACAAACCGTCCTCAACTCCAGTTCCAGGGGAATCTGAAGCCCTCTTCTGACCTCCGCAGCATTGCACGACACGGGTGCACTCACATACATGCAGGCAATACCCTCATACACATAAAATAAAAATAATAATTAAAAAAAAAACAAAAAACGAGTGTATTGCCCGCATATGTGTACGTGAACTCATGTCATCCAATGCCTGCAGAGGTCAGAAGAGGGTGTTGGATCCCCTGAACTGGAGTTACAGATGGTTGTTAGCTACCATGTGGATGCTGGGGATCAAATCTGAGTCCTCTGCAAGAGCAGCCAGTGCTCTTAACTGCTGAACTATCTCTTCATACCCAAATACAGAATTTTTGAGCCTGTTAGGTTGTACATACCTGTAATCTTAGCACCAAAAAGAAAAGAAGACAAAAGGTTTCCATTTTAGTGGCTTTTAGTATTTTCAGAGCTGTCCTTCCACCACCATAAGTTTAGGTTTCTTCCTCATTTTCACCGAAAAGCCTAAGAATTCAACTCTTCCACTCTTACTTTCTAGGGATGGAACCAAAGACTGTGCTTATGATAGGCAGGTGCTTTACCACTGAGCCACACCCCAGCCCCTCACTGGAGGATCCTAGGCAGGTGCTCTACCACTGAGCCACACCCCAGCTCCTCACTAGGGGATCCTAGGCAGGTGCTCTACCACTGAGCCACACCCCAGCCCCTCACTGGGGGATTCTAGGCAGGTGCTCTACTGCTGAGCCATGCCCCTCACTGGGGAGTCAGGGGGATTCTAGGCAGGTGCTCTACTGCTGAGCCATGCCCCTCACTGGGGAGTCAGGGGGATTCTAGGCAGGTGCTCTACCACTGAGCCACACCCCAGCCCCTCACTGGGGGATTCCAGGCAGGTGCTCTACTGCTGAGCCATGCCCCTCACTGGGGAGTCAGGGGGATTCTAGGCAGGTGTTTCCAGCCCTCCTTTCATTTTGAGACATGGTCTCAATAAGTTGCCCTGGGGTATTCTTCCCTTAGAACATGTTTGGGATTTCTTTCTCACTTCTTAATAAATCTGTTTGTTCTGCTAAAAAAAAAAAAAAAGAAACGAGCAGGCAAATCTCTGTGAGTTCAAGGCCAGCCTGGTCTACATAGTGAGTTCCAGGGCAGCTGGGGCTACAGGGAGACCCTATCTCAAAAAAACCAAAAAGAAAAAGAAATGAAAAGAAAAAAGAAAGTTGCCCATGCTGACCTTGAACAAAATCTATAGTCCAGGTTAGCCTTGAGCCTGAACCTGAAATCCTCCTGCCTCTGCTTCCTCAGTAGCTGCAACTACAGGCACCACCAAGTCCTGCATCCCTCATCCTCTTCAATCCCCAGAAAGTCCTAGAAGTTAACCCATCCCCAATATAAAGAGATCTACAGGAATTAGGGTCCTTGGTTGGGCATGGGTGGCTCAGGCCTTTAATCCCAGCAGAGACTGGCAGATCTGCGTGAGTTCAAAGTCAGCCTGGTCTACATAGTGAGTTCCAGGCTAGCTAGGGCTACAGGGAGACCCTGTCTCAAAAAGACCAAAAAAAGAGAAAAGGATGGGGCTGGAGAGATGGCTCAGCAGTTAAGAGCACTGACTGCTCTTGCAGAGGACCCAGGCCCGATTCCCAGCACCCACATGGCGGCTATGAACCATCCTTAACTGCAGTTCTAGGGGAATCTGAAGCCGTGCGCACAGGTGCACTCACATACTTGCAGGCAATACACTCATACACGTAAAATAAAAATAATAAATAAAATATTTTTAAAAAATAAATAAAAGGAAGTAGGACCCTAGCTGGAGATCACACAGGTCTATCTTGAGTAGCCACAGCTCCTAGAACATTGCCTCTACTCCTTCCTTCGGTCTTTCTTTCTTTCACAGTGCTTTCTTTTTTATTTATTTTTATTTTATGAGTATTTTGCCTCCATATATGTAAGTGCACCACATACATGTAATGCCCTCAGAGGCCAGAAGAGGGCATCAGCTCCCCTGGAACTGTAGTTACAAACAATTGTTAGTCACCATGTGGGTGCTAGGACTCAAACCTGGGTCCTCTGGAAAAACAGCAAGTGCTTTTAACAAAATACTGAGCCATCTCTCCAGCTCCAACTTTTTGTCTGTTTTGTTATTTTTAGACAAGGTCTCTCTGTGACCCCAACAGGCCTGGAACGTCCTATGTAGACCAGGCTGGCCTCAATCTCACAGAAATCCCCCTACCTCTGCCTCTGGAGTGCTGGGATTAAAGAGCCACCATGCCTGACTCTTTTTCTTGTAAAAATTTATTTTATGAGTGTATGTCTGCGTTGATGTATGGGTACCATGTGCATACATTACCTACAGAGGCCAGAAGAGGACATCAGATCCCCTGGAACTAGGGTTATAGATGGTCATATGCTGCCATGTGGGTGCTAGAACTGAACCTGGGTCCTCTGCAAGGGTATCCCGTGCTCTTAACCACTGAGCCATCTCTCCAGCATCCTATATTCCTTCTTTCAGGACTTCACCCTTTCCAATAGGGGCCATTGTAATTGCCCAGTGCATAACAACACAAAGATGCAGGAGGTAGCATCATCATCCCTCACGCCCTTCACCTGTCACCCTTGCAGGTGAAGCTATGTGACTTTGGCTTTGCACGCATCATTGGCGAGAAGTCTTTCCGGCGCTCAGTGGTGGGCACGCCAGCCTACCTGGCACCTGAGGTGCTGCTCAACCAGGGTTACAACCGCTCTCTGGACATGTGGTCGGTGGGTGTGATCATGTACGTCAGCCTCAGTGGCACATTCCCCTTCAATGAGGATGAAGACATCAATGATCAGATCCAGAACGCTGCCTTCATGTACCCGGCCAGCCCTTGGAGCCAAATCTCATCTGGAGGTGAGCCACAATGCATAGACTCAGAAAGGACTGTAAGAAGATGGGGTGTGTTCATGCCTATATGAGTGGGGATGCAAGAGGGAGGGGCTATGAAGGTGCCTTGTGGGTGGAGCCTAGTGATGAATGGAGTCTTGGGAGAGGCGTCTTTGTAAATCGTGGGTTGAGACTCCATGACCAGTATGAACCAGGGTCCTGGGGAGACTCAGCTTTCTTTGAGTTGTTTTTCTTTTTCTTTTGCAACACTGGGAATTGAACTCAGAGCCTCTCATGCATGTTAAATAAGGGCTTTACCACTGGCCATATTCCAATTCCTTTTTTACATTTTGAGACAGCGTCTCACTAAATTTCCCAGTCTGGCCCTGAACTCTGCTGTGTAACTGAGGATGACTTTGAATTCCTGTTCCTCCTGCCTCAACCTCCCAAGTGCTAGGATTACAAGCCAGTGTAAGACTTTTGTTTACTTTTCATTATTCCCTAAACAACACAATATAACAACTATTTACATCACAATGTTAGTATTAATATAAGTAATCTGTGCTAGGAGTACAGGGCAGCAGTAGAGCACCTGTCTAGAATACCCCAGTGAGGGGCTGGGGTGTGGCTCAGTGGTAGAGCACCTGCCTAGAATTCCCCAGTGAGGGGCTGGGGCATGGCTCAGTGGTAGTTCTCTTGCCCAGTATGTACAAAGTTCTGGGTTCCAGCTACAGCAATGCAAGAAAACCATTATGTAAGTTATGTAGAGGTGATTCAAAGGAAGTAAGCATGAGGCTATGTATAGGCCATATGTGAATACTCTGCTGTTTTTTTCATTTATTTTTTTATTTAATGTATATGAGTGTATTGCCTGCATATATAGTGCCCTTGTATTGTGGAATGCCTGTTGAGGTCAGAAGAGGGCATCAGAGTCCCTGAGAACTGGAGCTACAGACCATTGTTAGCCAACATGTGGGTGCTGGAAACTGAACCTGGGTCCTCTGCAAGAGCAACCATTGCTCTTAACTGCTGAGCCATCTTTTCAGACCCACTCAGCTGTTTTATATAAAGGACTTAAGCATCGTTGTATTTTAGTATCTATGGAGGGTCCTGGAACAAATCCCCGCAAATATTGCTCCTGGGGTCACAGGGGCTCACACAGTGAAGCCTTGCCCTTCAGGATGTGCTCCCAAGGAAAAAGCCTTAGATGAAGGCTGGCTTGGCCCCAACACCTGATGCCCAATTTAGCCACATTTTCACAAAAATGGGGCTTCATTCTCTGAATCTTCTGCAGGTAGCTGTGGCAGCCATGTGATGACATGGTTTTATTTTCATTTTATGGGGCATGGTAGCGCACGTCTTTAATTCCAGCACTTGGGAGACAGATGCAGGCCAATCCCTGTGAGTTTGAGGCCAGCCTGGTATACATAGTGAGTTCTAGGCCAGCTTGGGCTACAGAGAGATCCTGTCTCAAAAAGACCAAAAAAAAAAAAACACCTTATTTTCATTTTACTTTCATTAATATGGCAAGTGATTGTTAACTCTCTGCTGACCACAGTGATGTAAAGATTCTATTTGAAATACATATGTTTTCACCTTAAAAAATGTATTTTGTGTGTGTGTGTGTGTGTGTGTTTGAGACAGGGTCTCTCTGTAGCCCCAGCTGTCCTGGAACTCACTATGTAGACCAGGCTGGCCTGGAACTCACAGAGATCCGCCTGCCTCTGCCTCCCAAGTGCTGGGATTAAAGGCATGCACCACCACGCCTGGCTTTAAAATTGTATTTTTTAAAAAATATTTTATTTATTATTTTTATTTTATGTGTATGAGTGTATTACCTGCATGTACGTGAGTGCACCTGTGTCGTGCAATGCTGCAGAGGTCAGAAGAGGACTTTGGATTCCACTGGAACTGGAGTTAAGGACGGTTTGTAGCCGCCATGTGGGTGCTGGGAATCAAACCCAGGTCCTCTGCAAAAGCAATCATTGCTCTTAACAACTGAGCAATCTCTCCAGCCCCTAAAAATTGTATTTTTATTGGGAGGCAGAGGCAGGCAGATCTCTCTAAGTTCAAAGCCTGCCTGATCTACATAGTGAGTTCCAGGGCTACAGGAAGACACTGTATCAAAAAGACCAAAAAAAAAAAATTGTATTTTTAAAAATTGGAGCTGGAGGGGCTGGAGAGACAGCTCAGCATTTAAGAGCACTGGCTGCTCTTGCAGAGGACCCAGGTTTAATTCCCAGCACTCATACACTGGCTAACAACCATTCTTACCTATGGTTCCAGGGGATTCTACACCCTCTTTTGGACTCTGCAGGCATTGCATGACATGTGTGCACTTACATACAGGCAGGCAAAACGCTCATACACATAAAATATAAATTGCCATTAGCTGGGTGTGGTGGCACATGTCTTTAATCCCAGCACTTGGGAGGCAGAGGCAGGCAGATCTCTGTGAGTTCAAGGCCAGCCTGGTCTATATAGTGAGTTCCAGGACAGCTGGGGCTACAGGGAGACCCTGTCTCAAAAAGACAAATATATATATATATTGCCGGGCAAGATGATGCACACCTTTAATCCCAGCCCTCGAGAGGCACAGGCAGGCAGATCTCTGTGAGTTGGAAGTCCAGCTTGGTCTACATAGCAAGTTTCAGGCTACAGGACCACATTGTGAGACCCTGTCTCAAAAAGAAAAGAAAAGAGCAGGGGACCTGAGTGTCAGAGGCTCACAACTGCTTTCAAGGACACACGTGTGTGTGCACACACACCCATACACACAAATAAAACTAAAATACATCTCTTTTTTTAAATGGAGCTGGAAATAAGTAAAATAAATAAAAATTTCAGCTGGCCATTCTGTTACATTCTTAAAATCCCAACACCCGAAAGGGCCAAATGTAGCCCAGGTTGACACTGAACTCCTAGTCCTCCTGTTTCCTCCTCCCAAGTGCTTGGATCACAGGGGTGGGCCACCACAAATGGCCATATTTGTAATTTAATGAGAAAATCGGGATCATTGTTCGGTCACCTGGGCCAGTGCAGAAGGCATGCCTTGATGGCTGGCAGGCCGGGGTGGCATGCTGGAAGAGGCCATCACCCCAACAGAGTTTCATCTGTCCGGTTCCCCCACAGCCATCGACCTCATCAACAACTTGCTGCAGGTGAAGATGCGCAAGCGCTACAGCGTAGACAAGTCTCTCAGCCACCCCTGGTTACAGGTGACGCCAGGGAAGGGTCTGGTGGAAGGGGTCGATCTAGGTCTTTATTGGGCTGGGCGAGTAGTGGTGGATGTGGGTCCCTTTCCCTGGATGGAGACTGTTTTATCACTGGGCAGTGGTAGGGGCGGGGCTTCATTGCTATTGGCTGGGCAGGTTGTGAGGGGTGTGGTTTTACCTTTCTTGGTCCACGGCAGCTCACAGGCGTGGTAGAATAAAGGTCTGTAGTTGCTGCGCCGTGTGGTACCCTAGCTAACACAGTTCTTCCTGGTCCAGGAGTACCAGACATGGCTAGACCTAAGAGAGCTAGAAGAAAAGATGGGCGAGCGATACATCACGCATGAGAGTGATGACGCACGCTGGGACCAGTTTGTGACGGAGCGCCATGGGATTCCCACCGAAGGGGACCTCGGTAGCATCCGTTTGCCACAGGACCACGAGATGCAGGGGCTGGCTGAGCGCATCAGCATCCTCTGAGGACAGTATCCCCCTGGGCTGCTGCCTTTGGAGCCCTTCACACCATCCCAGAAGCAAACTGTTCTAGAAGTGACTTCTTGCTCAGACTTGATGGGGCAATGTGCACCGCAGCTGGGGAGGGGTGGGAGGTATCAGTCCCCAAGACCAGCTGTCTTTCTAACAATTAAAATGGACTTATCTTGGGGCCATAGCCTTGGTCTCTGATCCCACTACCCTAATCATTAGTCTGTTTCTAACAAGATGCACCTATCTAGGACTGTCCAAAAACAAGACTCCGCAGCCTGTGAGATGGTTCTGAGGACTTGAGTTGGATTCTTGGGACACACATGGTAGGAGAAACCCAACTCCTGTGGGTTTTCCTCTGACCTCCACATTAGCTCACCCAAACATATAAACACATACAGTAAATAAATGTAATTTTAAAAAATTTAGCCTGGTGTGGTGGTGCACACCTTTAGTCCCAGCACTTGGGAGGCAGAGGCAGGATCTCTGAGCTCAAGGCCAGCCTGGTCTACATAACGAATGCCAGGCCAGCTGGGGCTACAGGGAGACCCTGTCTCAAAAGACCAAAAAATAAGGAAAATTTAAAGGATGCTCCCACTGGGCATGATGGTACATGCCTGTAATCCCAGTACCTGAGAGGCTGAGGCAGGAGGATTACTTTGAGTTCAAGGCCAACCAAGTCTACAGAGTGACACCCTGTTTCAAAAATTAAAAACTGGTGACTCATGGGCTTATACCAGTGTTTGGGAGGTAGAGTCAGAAGGATCAGATATTCACAGCCATCCTCAGGTACATGGTGAATTCCAGGCCAGCCTGGAATTTTTTGAGACTCTTATCTCAAAAAATAAAACCAGGTGCTCCATATGTAGGGTGCAGGGTTAAATGGGAAGAGTTGGAGGAGGAGGACTCCCTGGAGAAGAACATAAGAGAGGGACATCACATCTGCCAGAAATAGGGAAAGTGTGGAGGTAGCTTATGGAGGAGAGGAAGAATGGCAGAGAACTAGAAATGGAGGAGCCAGGAGCATGGGTGATGTGCTTAGGATGGAGTGATGTCATGATACACCTGTTTTAAGTCCTAAGTGCATTGAAGGGGCTACAGATGTAGCTCAGTGATAGAGCACCTGCCTAGAATCCCCCAGTGAGGGGCTGGGGTGTGGCTCAGTGGTAGAGCTCCTGCCTAGAATCCCCCAGTGAGGGGCTGGGGTGTGGCTCAGTGGTAGAGCTCCTGCCTAGAATCCCCCAGTGAGGGGCTG